ATGCTCTTTCTCCCTTGTGCCAGTCACTGGTGGAGTCACTGGAGCTATTGCAGCGCAGATCCGGGAGGACCTTCGTCAAATGGGATACTTCCCAGGGCTGGGAGTGGCATTACAGTGACCAGTTGTGTGAGATGCTGACTCCGCCAGGACAAGATTTCTCCGGCGCAAGCACTCACCGCGTCAGCGACTTAAAACGGTGGATAACAAAATACGGGTTCCCCAGAATTCCAAATTATGAAATCTGTCCTCAAGACCACTTTCCAAAGGCCGAAGACTCAAATTGATTACGGCTCGGATCCTTTGAATTGGGGGGGTCCCTAGCACGACTTTTAAGAATCACAGGCATCTCCTTGTGATTTCCTAGATTTTGATGGTTTTTGGTTTTTCTTTAAAGGAATTTAAAAAGAATCTGCATGCGATATTCTTTTTTGATTTCGAATCGTTTCTGATTAGCTTGTAATTAGATTGGAAATAAAACTCAGTTGATTTTAATCTTCAATTGGATTTTAAGTAGGCTTGCAATAGCTTTTAATTGGTTTGAGTACGCTTTTGACTTGATGTTAGACAGGTTTTTATGTAGATTTTCAATAGATTTCAATGGATTTACTTTGCTTCAAATGGTTGTATTACAGCTTGGTTACGATTTTATTACGATTCTATGACGGTTTTCAATAGATCTAGTCCGTTTTTTATTTGATATACTTGACTTTTATTCCATTTGCATTAGAATTCAATAGGAGGCTATTATATGCACCCCTAATGTTCGGGTCGTATGATAAAATGATAAGCCCCTCGTTTGCAGTAAAGGAAGGTTGTGCGGATCATTTTTGTTTACAAGTGATGCCCTTGCATTTTTCAAGCCATCCATGCAAATGGCCAAAAACATCATGTCACCACCATGTTTGTGGCAGGGGAGCGCTATGCGGACCATTTGGTTTGCAAATCGGGGGGGTGCCCCCGCCCCCAAATCACCTTGCTTTTGTAATGAAATCCATGCGTGCATGAAATCATGTCATGGCTATGTTTGCCGTAAGGGGGGTAAGGGACGATTGCACGGATTATTACTGTTAATACTGAATACCATTCTTCTTCACTTGTAGCCTACTATTATGATCAGCATCCTTGCCAAGAATGCATCTGCTCATGTTATGAGAACTGTCATGATTACTTTGAGTACTGCTACAACAAGTCTTATCTGTTTTCCTTTCTATCTCAAGTATCACAACAATTCATCGAGCTCTTGCAGCAGATCCTAACAGATTGAGCTCTCTCGCGTGGGGTGTTTGCACATTTTTACGCTAATTTGCGCAGAGCATCCTCAAATTTGGCCTCAAAATTAAGCTGTCGCATGGAGCTTTCTAATTGAGCTCACGCATACAGCGTCGTCAACTTTCGCCTCAACATTTCACGCGTGGAGCGTCCTGACATTAGGGTTCACAGAATGCCCAAGACCCACCAAAAAAACAAATAAACAACACAAAACACATGCCTAAATTCATTTTTCACCAGTTTGCAAGTGCTGCCAAGGTCAGTTTCTTCTTCTTCTTCGAGCTCGCCCGTGCAGGCTTGGCTATCTCAGCAGCTTTGCGTTCTGCTTGACCGCTGGCCTTTCAGACTCTCTAAGCCAGGCAGCTCGCAATGTCGTCTTCAGTCAGGTGACTAGCGGCTCCTCCCGGTCGGGCTCCTGGGTTCCGGCATGACCTGAATTTAAGTTTTAAACGGCAAGCCTATTCTGAAATCATTCGAAGGTCAGATGCATTCAGGGGCGAGGATTGCCAGGCAACTTGCAAAGAACAGGTGACAGATGAGATTGCCTTCAACTGGCCTTGTTGGATGCTGCAGGCATGGCCCCCACCTGATGTGGTCTACTACATGGACACTTTCCTGAAAAAGGCCCCGTGGTTTGCTTGTTGACGGCTTGCAGCCGCTTCCTGAAGCAAGCCACCTGGAAGTTTCCTTCCGAAGATTCGCGTATAAAGGTATACTATCGTATATCATGGTATATTATGGTATATGCTGGGGTTACTAAGGGGTTATATAAGGATAATGGAAGAGAAAATGGAAACTACTTTATTATATGGGCCTAGCATTCAAATGCCGAGGGTATTTTGTCCTGGGCCACAGTAGCCAGTTCTGAGCCCAGCTACGTCATTTGCCAGGAAGATAACGTGTCAATGGCGAAGGCAGGCTCGCCAGTCTGAGTTTTGCTGGCCTTTGGTTAGCTGGGAATGAAGGAATGCAACAGAAAATAGAAACTGCTATAATGGGTTCTACAGGGACTTCTATAAGGATCCATTCCATCATTCCTAGCTAACCAACTGTTTCAAAGCCGTGCATACCACGCATCGGCTGAATCTAAACATCTTGGGCCCGCAACCCATGTGAGCTCTAGTCTAAACTCCTTAAAGGGGTCGTATATAGGGGATTACATAGGGGAGTACAATAGGGATCATTAAGGGGGATACTAGGAGTTTAGACTACAGCTCATGTAACGACCACAGGCCCCTGCTCTGAGGCTTGCCTCGCAACTCGTATGTGTCCTTTGGGATTTACAGATCTACAGGAATTTCGGAATTATGTCTGGATTCTAGGAGGGGTTCCGATAAAGGCCTTTGTTTGGAAGACGAATCCGAGCGTAGGAGCATGCGACCAGCATCTTTTTTATGCTTACCCTGCAGGGCCAGAAGCATCTAGATCCCACAGCCGTTCTCCTTCTCTCGCTGCAGAGCGTTATGCTGGCCATTAGAAGTATCACGAGCATTGTTGCAGCAGTACGCTGCGTTCAAGAACTGCGGCAGCACAAGTAGCAGCCATAGCACATGACCAACAGCAAGCGCGCCATCAACAACCAAAGCAATGTGGCAACGACACGACAGCGGCGACAACAACGAGGAGGACGAGTAGGACCAGGACAAGGACGATGATGCTGATGATGACTACGCCGACTACGCCCATGACAACCACAACTTACTAGCAGAAATGGAACAGTGCGCTGCTGCCACAGCACTTAGCATCCGAAACCCATCGTCACTGCGGCTTGTTGCTGTTGTGTTTTTCGGATTTGCTACTCGTATTGTGTTCCGTACGCAAGACATCTTGACGGCTCACAAGGCCCGGACCAACAATGACGGCAAACTTGGCAAGCTAGTATTTACAGACAGGTTGCTTCGCGACATGCCTGTTGCATGTGCTGCGGCAACTCAAGGATAGGTTGACGTGGCATAGCCTTGAAAGTTGCCACACGGTTTCAGGGCTTAGCCTCGTCATTCTGCCTCTTATTGCCAGGCACCAAGGCGGCTTGCGGCTGCTCGTATGCTCCACCTAGAGCGCATCGAGGAGGAGCGGGCTGGGTGGGTTGGCTTTGAATGGTTCAAGTGATATCGCATCTCGGCCTGCTGGATTCAAAGTCTCGTTGTAACCCTAGCCACAGTCTCTGCGTTCTCGGAGGCTACAGGTCTACAGTTGCACTCCGACCACCATCATGTGCACCCTGCCACAACATCATTGACATTGAGAGGTGATGGCTGTTGCCACCATTAACTTCATCATGCGCTGTGCCAGCAACCATTGCTACCCCTTCAACGGACCCTTCTCAGGCTTAGCCCTCAACCCAACCTTCAAGACGAGAAGGTCATGCGCATCATAAATCCTCTAGCGAACACGGAAGTATACGGAAGTGGTCACGGCAAGAATTCAACAGCCGCAAGTGTGATAGCGGAAGAGCCGTGATGCGACAACAGTAGTCATAGTAATGCGTAGACGTAACAGCCGACACGGCCGCTTCGCATTATCACGGTCAGGCCACTTCCTCGCCCTGCTTGCAAACACATGAGCCATGGTCTAAACTCCTAGTATACCCAAAGATCCCCCTTGATCACCCTTATAGTAGTACCCTGTATAAACAAAAATAGAACCCCGTTGAGGAGTTTAGATTGTGGCTCACATGTGTTTCAGGCCGAGGAAGGCTGTTGCTTTGGCTGGCTTCGAGCTATTCGCCTTGGCCCGCAACTCAGCACCTCTGTGGCCTGCCATAGTGGGATATGCTCAAGCTTGCTAGCGAAGATGCTGGAAGGCCGCCCCATGGGCACGAAACACACCTCCTGCGGCGTCCGCAACTACTTTGAAGAACTTGGCGAGGCATCCCGCAGTTTGAATCAAAGACTTGCCTCGGCTATGTGGGCCGTGTTAGGCTTCAGAGCAGCTGCGAAACCCGCCTCAGCCCATTGCTACAGCCAGGGGCTTGTCGGGCTTTCTAGATGTTGGTGGATTCTGTTGTCGGTTTTTCTCAGGAGCCTCTGCTTGAAGGGCCCAGATGACCTTCATCATCTACAGTCCTGGTCTGGTCCTTAAAGTCATGGGAATGAGGGAATAGATGGGGATTATATAGGGATAATGGAAAAGAAAATGGAAGCTACTACTTAATCATAGGATGTTTCTACATGTGTACATATTGGGGTTATAGTAGGGAATATGGGAATATAGTGAGAATTGGCTGCTTGCAACCTGGGAGCTTGCAAATGGGGGTCTCCCAAAATCAGAGGTACTTTTAAAGGGAATGTAGCGGTTATACATGGTTTAGGGTTCAGGGTTTAGGGTTTCCAAAATAAGCGCCACCTCATGTTCAAGCTTTTAGAAAGGTTGGCAGCAACACCACATAGTCTGCAGAACCAACCTTCAACGACAGGGCGTTGTGTGAACAAGAGCAGCTGGCCGGATCCTTCTGGGCTTGAAGTTCACCATGGTCTCAGTTTAAAGCGATGTGCTTACGCTCCTATTTGCAAGCCGATTTCAGAAGAATCTACATGTACCACGACGGGTTAGTTGGGGCTAAATGCGTGAGCCCAGGGCTGCACGACAATGACCAGTGGTAGCCTGTGCCTGGTGGGTGGGGGTTTGCGGAGTGCGTGATTTTGCCCGCTCAATCATTCCGGCTTAAGCACTCAAGCATTGCTTCCTTTTCGTTTGCTGACAACTCGAATTTCCTAAGATGGTGTCGTCAGGCATTTGCGTTTTGGCGATGCTCCTCAGCACGGCAAGTGCTGCCCGCCACGATGTCATGCGCGTGCAGCAGCATCGCGCGAGTGCGGAGGCAGAGGGCAAAATGGTTCCCCGCGAGATCAACTTGGCCTTGCGAAGGGCACAAAAGAGCGCACAGGAGAGGTTGGTGGACTTGGAGAAGGCCGAGGCTACCGCCAGTGCTGCGAAGGAAAACGCGGCATCGGCAGCAACAACCAAAATGTCGCTCATGGAGGATGTGAAGGCCAAGACCACTCAACAGCAGGCTCAGGTCGAGAGGAGCCGCCAGGCAATGACCGACGCTGAGGAAGCTGCCTCAAAGCACCTCAACCACGCAGGAGACTTTGAGGATGCATTGGCCAAGTGGAATGGCTTTAGCAAAGACGTGGAGGGGATGCAAGAGAACGTGACCAGGATGGAGGAGGCAATCGCAACCACGCGCCCGAATGACGAAGCGCCTTGAAGCTCTCAAGGATAAGTTGGATGCCAAGACGAGAGAGCGAGATGCTGCAGAGGAGGACATGATGGGCAAGAAGGGCGTCGTGCTGTCCGCCAACAAGATGAAGGACGAAGCCGCAAAAGCAGCTGCTGATGCCGACCAGGAGGCTCAAAAAGCACAGCAGGAGTTGCGAAGTCTCCAGGCCACCTTCGACAAGGCTGTCTTCAAGGCTGCCAAGGCTGAGGCAGAGTCGAAGGAGGCCGATGGAGTTGCCCGCAATGCCAAGAACGATCATGATGATGGAAAGAGGACCGTGGAGCTGATTCAGAAGCTTCGAATGGCCGTGGAAGCCTTCTACGGAGCGGTTGATGAATTTGCGTACAGCGATGCTCCTACAGGCCAGAGCGAGGTTGTCAAGGACCCTCAGTTGAGGGCCGCATATGAGAAGTACAACGACATGGCAACCATCTTCGCAGAGTTGCACAAGTTCTCTCCCGACACGTACCAGAAGGTCAAGCCATCCCTTGAGGAGATCAACAGGAACTACCAGGAATCGATTGCCACGAAGTGCGACCCAACTGGCGAGCTGTCTGACGAAGACGGGGAGCCACTGCCGGGCTTCGAGGAGCATTGTGGCGATGGTCT